AAGATGCTTTGCAATTGTACAGTAGTAAACAAAGGCTGGTGATTGTCATAGGAAGATGGGGACCTATCCTTTTTCTCCCCTTTTCCCATCCAAGGCAGGACCTGATTAGACAAGAGTCACAGTGGTAAGCCACCTGGATATGGAAGCCCCTGTCTGCTTTTGCCATCTCACCTGTCCCCGCCCCCCTCCAACGTGTGCTGTGTGGAAGAGGCCAACAGGGAAGTCTCAGCTCAGAGACATGACAGGTGACAGACACCAAGTTGACTGTGGTGTGAAACAAACCAGCCTGGAGCCCAGAACTGGGGTGGGGGGGGACTCAAATGCCTATCCCACCTGGAGGGTAGGAGAGGGCAGCAGGGAGGGGGGCCCAGGAAGAGGACTTTTGAAGAATCTCTTCTCTCTTGAGTCCCAGTCTCCCTAAAGAGGACCAACAGAGGGTGTGTCTGCCTTTATGCCAATTCAAGAGGACAGAGCTTCAAGGAGACCACTTGGATTAGTGTGGATCCATTGCAGCTTGGAGACATGGACAGGGCAGGCTGGTGGTTGTCTCCAGATGAGAAATCTAAGGGGTGAGGAGGTCCTGGCTGGAAGCTGACAAGCCCCAGGAGAAGGCTCATGTGAGGAAAGGCCTGGCTCCTCCCTGAGCAGGCAGGGGCAAAACCTGAGTGGACGTGCTCAGGGGCTGGAGATGGCAAGAGAAGACTGGGTGTGGGCTTGAGCTGCTGCGCTCCTGGGGAGGGTGGACGAGAGCTGCTTGCTCCAACTCCAGGAAGCAGAAGAAAGAGTCCCTAGGCATGCGCAGATGGCGGAAGGGAGATTTAAAAAAAAAAAAAAAAAAAAACTATGAGAGCACCAAGAGAACAAGTCAGCTCTGGCACCGGCCATCTCAGAGAGGATAAAGCTGGTTTATGACAATGACAGATGCACGAGAACTTTCCCGCTTCCCCTTCCTCTTCCTCACCACAACTCCAGTGAGGGTTTTCTGATTTCTTTTTTTTTTTTTCTTTTCTTTTTTTTGAAGTGCTGGGGATCAAACCCAGGGCCTCATGTGTGCTAGGCAAGCATTCCAGCCCTGAGCTACACCCCCAGCCCCTTTCATTTACTATTTTGACACAGGGTCTTGCTAAGTTGCCCAGGCTGGCTTTCAACTGGCTGTCCTCCTACCTCAGTCTCCCAACTAATGGGATGACAGCGTGCTGCCGCCACACCCAGCTACACAGTCTGATTTCTAAATGTGAAAATGACAACATAACTTTACATTTCCTCTGGGGTGAATTCTTAGAATTTCATGTTGCTTTGATGCCTGTGTTGAATACAGGTCGAACTTCCTCATACCAGAAGCAGGGTTCAATTTCCCTTCCCAGCCTCACTTCTCCACCTCCTCTGTTACTCAGTATGGTCGATCCAGATAATCTGCCTTATGCAACTGCCTCCTGGTGACCCTGGGACAGCTAGATACAACCTCCTTGACTTGCCCCCCTGACTCCCACGCCCCACATGAACTGTGCAGATAGGCCACAGTGACCCCCCTCTTCAGTGCCTGCTGGCTCTAAACCTGCCCCCTAGAACCCTCCAGGGAAAACTTGCTTGGCTATTGCCCTGGTTCCAATAAAGGCTTCAGCCCACAGGTGCTCTCTATCTTTCGTTCTCTTACTCCCATTTGCTGGTTGAGTGTGTTTGTCCCAAATGGTGCCCTCTCTTCCAGATAGCCCTGCAGGGCATGCTGCCCTATTCTCTCTGGAATCTGTAAGAAATAGCCTGTTATTTCATGTGTCTTGTTATGGAGCCTCCTCTATGTCTCACCTGACTGACATACTCCACCCTAACTTCCTTCCTGGTCAGAGCTCTCCCAGGATGTGGCCATCTTGGTAGGAATCAACTGGACAAAGATCAGATAAGAGCCACAAGGGTGTATGTCAGAATGAACTCATTCTCTGGGAGAGGGACATCTGGTCATGAGCCAGTCTCTTAAACGTCCTGCTGTCCACCAGGATATAGAAGGTTCCCATGAAAAGCACACTGTGAACTTGCATGATCACCTCCCCGGGAGCCCTCGTCAGGGTAGGGTGAGAGCTCCAAGCTGCTGTCCTGAGGGACATCTCAAACCAGAGGAGGGGGAAATCCAACATCCAGAGTGACTAGGAAGATCCTGGAACTCTTCATCCAGACGCAAGGCAGTGAGAGAAAAGAGCAAGCAATGAAACCTCAGGAATTCGCTGATCCGCTGCATTGTGCCAAGCACCGAGGCAAGCTCTTCTCCCCAAACTTGACTTTCATCAAATCACTGAAACTCTACACTTACAATGTGATATTCCCATGTGACTGATGAGGAAACCAAGGCAAGTGAGAAAAATTAAATCATTTGTCCAGAAGTCACATAGGTAGAAAGCAGCCACAAGTTAAGTTCAAAGCCAGATCCATCCTTTGAGCCTGGGCTCGAGCTTTCCAATCTGGGCTGGCTTTGATCCCCCCCCCCCCGGGGATCCCAAAGAAGCTCTCCTCTTACAAAAGTTTCCTGGGGAATCATAATGGGTGCTGAAATCCCTGGTCAGATGGTGGTCTTCTCTGGGGCCAGGGCTAGATGTCATCCATTTCTGGGAGACAAGATGGAACTTCAGAACATCCAACTGCTCTAGCTCTGCGTGTCTGCTCTTCCCTGAAGACAGCCCTGGCTCTGCATGCTCTCGCTTGGATCCTGACCCCGCTGGTCCTCTGGGTCTTTGCGATGGACAACTGGGAGCAGAGGCAAGATTGAAGCACAAGGGGCCTAAAGGCTGGCCCTGAGGAGGAGCCCGTGGGGAAGCTTGAGATCAGGCTGGGACAACTGAGAATAGAGAAGAGGATGTTTTAAGAGATGGGCCAGAATCCTACTTAGGAGTGTTTGAGCATCACACGTGAGAATTGGCTTGAAATGATGTTTGTGGCAGCTGGTTGGTGGCTTTTGTTGTCATTCGTTCTCTTTCCTTCCAGCTGTGCTCTGAAGCTGAGCCATGTCTTGGCTTCCCAACCCCACTACATCTATATTCCCAGAACGTAGTGTCTGGCACATCATAGGTGTTTGATAAATGTTTGATGAAGTGAATTTGAAGAAAATTGCAAGACACCTTGTAACTCCCAGGCCCACTGCCTGCTTGGTACTGGCGGAGAGGCTTGAGAAACGGTCCCAGAAATAAGCATGACCCCAATTAAGAACCTAAGACTTAGATGGTGTGTGGCTCAAGGTTGGGATGGGGCTCACTGACAAGAACCTGAGCCAGAGCTTAAAGTCTCAGAGCTGGGGCCAAGTGTGTGTGAGGTACCCGTGCCCCCGGCCCAGGGTTCACTTCACTCCTGGGGTGTCTGTCAGAGGCCAAGGTGGGAGGTTTGACCTCCCAGAATGCTGGCTTTGTCTGTCACATCTGTGTGTTGGAGTGTGTCCCTTCCAGCCCTTTCTGATTAACTTCTGTTTACTTTTGTCCTACTTGGAGTTGACCTTTGACAATACCCACTCTTTGAAATGGTCTGTCCAAGGAATGTCAAGAAGTCCGCATATTGTTTCAGGTATTTTGTAAAAGGGGTCTTCTTTTCTCCATGTGCAGCCCAGCTGGGTGGAGGTATTTTACTAGAGAAGCCAACCTTGAACTATCCAGATGACACATAATCAATTCAAGACCAGTGCTCATTTTTCTCCTTACTTCCTCGGGGGAATTTTTCAAACAATGTGGCACAGAAGCAGGTCTTCAAAGGGGTTAATGCTTCTTCTGCCAGGACTTCAGTTCAAAGTTTTATCACGGCCAGCCTTGAAAAGAAGGCCCAGAAGAGATAACCCCTCAATTTACGTTGGCCAGTTGTACCGTCAAGAACAAATGTGTGTGTTAGCGGGAGTCTCCAGACAGGGACCAGAACTTGTGCCCTCGGGCACCTTCAGTGCTGTAGGTCTGCAGCATGACCTTGAAGGTGACTCCTAAAAATCCTCAGTCTACACAAATGTCACCAACTGCAAAACAGACTCACCTTTCACATTGCCAGCACCAAGGAGTAAATGCCTTAAAGTAGAAAAGCCAAGCAAGACCAACGGGAGAAGAATGAGCCCTCAGGTTCTCCCAGCCACTTGGAACATTTTCTTCTCTCTTGCCTATTTTCAAGAATTCCAGGACTGTGACCTTTTAATTACACAGGCAATGGGGTTCTTTGCAAACACAAATAGCAGAGAAAGATTATTGCAAACAGACTCTTTGCTGACTTTTGTCAAAATCGTTTTAAATGTTTGATACAGATGATGAGAAATAGAACTTTGCTTTTCTGCTTGCTGTAATTTCAGTAGGAAGTGTGTGGGTCTATTTTTCCATTTAACAGGATTCTTCATAGCACAACATGGTACCTCTTGAGGCAGAAATCAATCAGTACCTCAATACCTTCTGAGGAAGATATTGACAAATTATGGCAGCCATCCCATGCCTGGGAGAGCTACAGGTCAACTTAAGAGGAATCATTATTCCCTGAGAATCATATCCAGGGTTTTTTCTTTGTTATATAAGTCAGACACAAAGTTATATAGAGCCAGAAAGCATCAAGGGCCCAAGACACAGGTCCCTGAACAATAAATACCTCTTGTGTATTAGTTTTTCATCACTGTGACAAAATACCTGAGATAATCAACTTAAAAGGAGGAAAAGTTCATTTTGGCTCCAGGTTGCAGTTCCATGGTCACTTGGCCCTACTGACTTTGGGCCTGTGACAGCTCAGTCACTTCATGCCAGGAGTACATAGTGAAGGAAGCTACTTACCTCATAGCAGCCAGAAATCAAAGAAAAGAAAGAGGAAGAGGCCATGGTCCCAACATCCCTTTCAAGAGCACATTCCCAGTGACCTAACGTCATCCAAATAGGCCCCAACAACTCCCAATAGTGCTATTCACTTGTGTCCAAGCCTTTATACGTGGGCCTTTGCAGGAGACTTCCAAACCATAGCATCTTGGGTTGACCAATAGTTCTCTGGGGACAAATAGACCGATTTAGGCATGCAATAGGGCAATGTGACACATTCTTTAAGATGACACTCAGCAGGAAAGCCAGGGAAGTCTGGGGGAGGACTTGGGCTCTGCTCAATGACAGAAACGTGCACAGGCTCAGGCTAGTAATGGCACAGCATGCATCCGGGGACCATGGATGTGCATTAAAGAGCCCAGCAGCTCTTGGCCATGTTTGATGCTGAACAAGGAATGTGCCTGTCCTCTTTCACATGCCCACGGAAGCTCGGACAGGACCTGGAGCAGGGCGGGAACTAACCCAGTGGAGGATGAACCACACAAGACTCATCTCCAACAGCAACATGGTGTGGCCGCGGTGAGCGACTGCAGGAATATTCTCTGGCCAGGCTCCTTCCTGCTCAGCTGGCAGAAGCAGGACCGTCCCTCGGGCTTTGTAAGGCATTTGTATAGAAGCTCATCCCAGGTCCATTCATTTCCGCCTCTCTCAGCAGCCAAACCTTTAAAGACATCATACGTAAGCATATGGATGGCTTTTAGCAGTACTGATTTATGGGTTACTTGTGCCTTTGACTTTCCAGCCTCTCAGTGGAGTCAGGATGACCCTCAGTCGGCCCCACTGTTTTGAGAGAGCCTGATGGAAGTCTCTCTGGGGCAGCCATACACACAGTGTGCACTGCTGCAAAAGTATAGCTACATCCCGACTGGGTGACAAAGGACCCAATGTCCCTGGGAACCAACTCACTGTTAGAATAATATTTGAACCCCTACTCAACCTCATGACCACCTACTCTGCCTGAGATGGTCAGACACTGGGATTGCCTAACTCTGGACTCTGCCTGAGGGTCCTCCCTATCCATTCCCCTGGTTCTTAGTAGGACCATGAGTGCCACAGCTGCTCAGATGATCTGAGCCCTGTGCCCCAGATGCTTTAGCTTGGTTAGGCAATGTTCCCCCAAAAAATAGGAGAAAGGGAAGGAAGCAGGGGAGAGAGGAGAAGCCGTTTGAGGAGGTGAGATACTGAGCTGCCTTTACTACTAAGTACAAATGCACCTCTTTGGGTTTTCATTCAAAACAAATGTATTTAGGATTCGTTAACCACCAAGTATTGTGCAAAAGGCTGCAGAGTTGGTTCCTGTCCTCACAGAGAAACCTCATGAATAATTGTAAAGTTGGCCCGTGGGAGTGTGGAAAAGGGAAGCATTTATCATCGACTCTTGCGCCCCCAGGTCACAGGTCCTCCCAGAGAGCATTAACCACACACCACCACACACACATTCCCAGCTTGCGCCTGCCTGGGTCTCCAGCAGCCAACAATAGGGGTTTCCTGAGGGGCAGGTGGGAGGTGACCAGTGTGCACATGGACAAGGCATAGTCCTACCTGTGTGGAGTCAGCTGGAGCCCATGTGCCATTGCAGCGGGGACAGGAGACAGGTGAGGCCAAGAGGATCTGAAACACCGCCCACAGGAAGAGTTGGGAGGCCAGGATGGCAGCAGCTGCCTGCCACTCCGCATGGGAACATCAAGACCTATATGTCTTGTGGCAGCCTGCACAATGTGAAAGATCCAGACTCTTCTAGAGAGACCTAAATGACAACCAGCACATACTAATCTGTGGGATCGCACTGTCCTCCATGGTCTTCTAAGAACATTCTGTGCTCTGATGCATAAGGTACGTCCTCCACCACTTTGGAAGCTAGTCAAATCCCAACCCCCCTCCTCCTGGGGAGGCAGTCAATGCCAAGGAAGACATGACGTCAGCCAGCCAGCATTCAAGTCCCAGGTCTGCCATCTACTGGCGTTGTGACATACTGCATGATTCCTAACTTCTTGGGCCTCAGTGTCTTCACCTGTAAAATGGGCAAGTGTGATAAACCATGACAGCAGGGATTTAATGTTCAGCCTGTTGTCTGGAACCCAATAAACTCATAATAAAGAAAAGCTATCGTGAGGACCAGGGTGCCAAGCTCTGCCTGCCACCAGGAGCATCGATGTCTCCAGGGGATGGAGGGAATTAGAATGATCTGCTACTCAAAGACCGTTCTAAACCTTTAAAGACATCATCGACTGCTCCTATATAACATCCTCTCGTGAGCTAATAGAAAGCTTGGCAACAGCAAAATGGCCTGAAACACTAGTAAAACACGATAGTAAAATCAGCATCACTTTTTTCCTTCCCTACTGCAGGCCTAAGTGTCCCGACGGGAGTGAACTCTGGCAGAAGGGGAATGACTCCATTCTAAAGAGGGTGGGAATTCTTTGCCCCACTGATCCCATTTATTGAGACTGTCTCACCCCAAGAAGGATGCTTGTCCATTACTTCATCAGCTTATGAAAACGGCCCCCAGGGCTTGTCTTTCATCAGCAGATACACCCTACCCCCACACGAGAAAGGGTCCCACGTTACTTTGCCTTAAAAAAAATAGACACAATGCTTTTTATTTATTTGTTTATTTTTATGCAGTGCTGAGGATTGAACCCAGTGCCTCACAGGTGCTAGGCAAGTGCTCAACCACTGAGCCACACCCCAACCCTGCTCTGCTTTTTGAGTACTTAAGAGTCATAACTTTTTTTCTTTGCTTTCAGTTACTTAACCCATTCTGTGCCATCATCCCAGATGTAGAACATCAACAAAAACTTAAATATACTAAATACTACATAAATGCTACTTGTGCCCAGCAAGCAAAAAGTCAAACCTAAAGTATATATATATATATATACACACACACACTCTAGATTGTGATTTTCAACCTATTTTAATGCCCCTGTGTCAATTTCATGGAAATATTTGCAAAATGGAAAACTTGGGACTTATATCATTACTTTGTCAGTCCACAAATATTTATAGAGCCTTGAGATTGTACCAGGCCTTGGCCTTGGGATGCAGAGCTGAGGCTCTAGGGGAAAGTTGCTTCGAAGGGACAGGCATCCCAAAGCAGTACACAGAGGTCCAGGCATTTGCTCAGCAAACACTTTCTGAATACTTCTTAAGCCCAAGTACTGGGTCAACGTCAAAGCCTTAGCACCTGCTTCCCCAGGCTTGCTGTCTATGGGGGATACTGACAAATAGATAATCACCACTCAAGGCTGAGAGTGGGAGCATAAGGAAGGCCAATGTGTCCTTTCCAGCAATGCCTTCCAGAGATTGACTCCGAGTTTCACTGCAGCCTAGCTGTCCGCTCCCAATCCCCCTGCACACCTCAATCTCTGGGTATCAGTTCAGATTACTCCTCTCGCATAAATGAGATGATGGTTTATGCTTAATGCTTATATTGTGTATGTTTATATTTTGTGTTTTTTATAGAAAAAAATCAATATTTTTATTCATATTTAGCAAATAAACATAGGGTTTGGGATGGGGATTATTTTTTATTTTATTTTTTTACAGTACTGGAGATAGAACCCAGGGCCTTGCACATGCTAGGCAAGCACTCTACCACTGAGCTATATCCCCAGCCCTAAATGTAGGTTTTTGAAAAGCACTGAGAAGCATTCCTCTTTCATGCCCAGGTAAAAGCCACAAATCTGGATTATGGAAAGAGAATTTCTTCTCACTCTCTGAGAGGCTGTTTAGAAAGTTCCTGTGGCTGGCCCCAGAGATGCCCCTCTCAGATGTCAATCAAGAGAGAGTCCAGCCCCTTGGATGGAGACTCTCTACCCCATCCTCCAATGGCTAAGTTAGGGTAAGTAATCCTCACACAGCAGAGAACAGGGAGAGGGAGATAAGGTTCACCCTCCCAAATTACCCAAAAATGGATAACTCCTTTCCTTTTGCAATTAAAAATTTTTATTAATACATCACATACATATAGAAAATTGCATATATCATAAGGTATAGCTAGAATAATTCTCTCAAAGGAATACCTCTACCCCATAATAACTACCCAGATCAGCAGCTGTGTCTTCCTAATGTGTCTTAAAGTCTAAGTTATTTTGTTTTAAAGTGTCTAGATTTGCCAATCCTAGTCCAATCTTTACCTCGACAGATCTTTAGTAGGGTCCATTCTCCAACACAAGGCCAAGGTGAGGCCAGCATGCTCTTCTGTGGTCTTGGAGTCTCAGCTACTTGTGCCCAGCAAGCAAAAAGTCAAACCTAATACATGTAGCTCCACAGACACAGTAGGAATCCCCAGACGGAAAAGAAGCCATTTCCCCCAAGGAATCATGGGCTGCAGAGATACACCTTTGCTTGCCACAAAGACAGCCTTTGAATCATTATACAGAGCAGCAGTTACCTGCTTATAGCTACAGCTTCTCTGCTCAACAGCTCATTCCAGCAGATTCCCCTTAAAAAGGAAAAGTTATCATCAAAAGCATATTCAAGCTCTACCCCTTGCATGACTGAAAACTCTTGAGAGTGAGTGCACTGAGTCTGTCTTTTCCCCATCTTTTACCACTCCCCAAAAGGTTCTGTAGGACTATAATTAAATTCCACTTACCCTCAGAGGCCGCTGAAAGAAGGATGCTTCTCCCTATCACATGGCCTAGGAGGGGGATGTTGCCACCAGATGGGACAACAGAAAAGTCACTTCACTGGGACACTGGACAACCTACGACATTCACATTTTCTCCCTTTCAAAATCAACTAAAGGCGCTGGGGTGGTGGCTCAGTGGACAGCACCTGCCCAGCATGTGCAAGGCACTGGGTTTGATTCTCAGCACTGCATATAAATAAATAAAATAAAGGTCTATTGACATCTAAAAAATATTTTTTAAAAAAGATCAACTACAGTCCCTTCTTGCTTGGCCTTTTGCAGTGCCCCCCACCCCTCAGGAGACCTCATTTGGCATTTGGCATCTACTTTCTCATAGGCCTTATTTTTGCACTCCCCCTGACACCTTATGATCATCTAAGGCTCAGACAAAATCATTTACCCACAGATGTCCTCAGCATCAACTTGCTACCAGACCACGGGGTAGGAGATGAATGCATTACAGACCACCAGATTTTTGTCTCCCAATTTCACAAAGTTGTCACCAGGAACTATATCCCCTAACCCCCTACCTAAGAAGGGGTCACGTGACCATTTCTTAACTCTGGAAGAGAAACAAAAAGCTGAGTGTCATATCTGAGCCTAAAAGTTACAAAGGATGGCTTCAGGGCTGGGGGTGAGCTCAGTGGTAGAGCTCTTGCCCAGTTTGTCTGAGGCCCTGGGTTCAAACCCCAGCACCACAAAAATTAAAGTAAAATGCTACGGCTTCCTTACCTTTCTTCCCTCCTCCGCTGACTGGACACAGAGAACTCCATGGCCTTTAGGCCTGGAAAAGACACAAAACAGAAAGAGTTAGAATCTCTGAATCACCATGTGGAAGAAAAAAAAATCGCCCATGAACCAGGAATATTTGCATTGGCCTATTTTGTGATTAAGAAATGGAATTTCTGGGCTGGGGTTGTGGCTCAGCGGTAGCGCACTTGCCTAACATGTATGAGGCACGGGGTTTGATTCTCAGCACCACAAACAAATAAATGAAAATAAAAGTTCATCAACAACTAAAAAATTAAAAAAAATTAAAAGAAATGGAATTTCACTGTGCTAAGCTACTAAAACACAGAGGTTATTTGCAATAGCCACCAGCATTTCTCTAACTTATATCATGAACAAGATGTGGACTCTATTATTGAGATGTTGATTTACAGAAATATTCAGACTTTCTTTTTAGAAATCTCTTTTTAGCAACAGGATGGAAAATAGACTGGATGGACACCACTTCAGAAGGACACACACACACACACACACACACACACATACTTTTCATGTGCAGCATTTATTCCTCCTTTTTCTTAGAACACTAAATTTCCTCGATTCATTCATTCGGTTTAAATGTGACCAATCCACCTGTAGTTCTACGGATGCACCCAGACAATCAGAACCCCCAATAAGTGCTAGACTGGAACTTTTTCTAGAAGATTGAGAAAAATGGACACTGTCTTTCCCAGTTGGGTTGCTGATGGGAAGGACTGGGACTAGAACTCATGGCAGCCATCTTGCTTTATCTGGAAAGAAATTGCTCAAAGTAGAATGAATAGGAGATGAAGAGGAAAGAGAGTCCAGACAGAGCCTGGGATCCATTTCTTTCCCCCTTTCTAGAGAGTCCCCCCAGGGGAAAGAAGGCAAATGATCTAGGCTAATATCTTTTTATATATGCTAATAACTGACCTCCTGATAAATAGTTTAGAGAGTTTCAAGAAGTCCTCATCTATAGAATGCTTTTTGTAAGATGTCCCTGGTTTGGGATTGCTTATGGTAAACAAATCTAAAATCTGTGGATATAGGAGGCATGGCTCCCTTGAGAATGTCACACAAATCAAGTAACAAAAGTATTTTATAATATAAATACACCTTGCCGCATATGATAAGCACAAACTTTAGAGATTTGCTCTTATGACTAAGGGCCACATAGCTTGTCTTATGCAGAAGGAGCCCCAGAAGATGTCTCACTCCCACTTTTCTCTGTATTTAGTTTCTATTGCTCTGTAATAAATTCCCTTAAAATTTACTAGTTTAAACAACATGGTTTTTTTCAGTCTCATATTCTCTGTGGGTCATGAATTTGGACAGGGCTCAGCAGGTCAGGTTGCCTTTGCTCCACAGTGTCTGGGGCCTCCCCTGACAGAACTCAAAAACTAGAAATGGTGGCTGGGAATAGAAGTCCTGGTCACTCACATGACTGGAGACTGATGTTTCCTGGGAGCTCACTCCATG